TTTTTTCTCTCTCTCTCTCTCTCTCTCTCTCTCTCTCTTGCCTTTCTTTTAGGTTCTACTACCTAAGGGGGTGTAGGGCGATGTGGAGTTAGGGTGTCTGGGGTTAGAAATGTAGGGTTTGGTGTTTAAGCCGATGTTTTTTCTCCTGCTGCTTTCGCCAGAATCACTAAGTAGCTAGCAGAGATGCCAATGCAGAAAAGATGTCTTATTGCTGATGAACCGCCGGCTTGCCGTAGCTTTCGGCTTGGATAATTTCTGGTCTCCCGACTCCTTTCGGTTGTGGATCTGGCAGCATGAAGAAGCCTGCTGCCGTTGTCGGAAAGAAGGGGACGAAGAAGGATGCAAACAAAAAGCCCGCTTCCAACAGCTTCCAGCCTGAGAAAGAGGAGCCAATGTCGTTGGACGAGAAGATCGATAAGTTCCTTGGTGCGAAGAACAGCCAGGACATCGGCGACTTCTTGGACAAGCTCAGTGAGCACCAGAGACAGGCATTGTGGCAGCGATTCGCCAATGCTCGGAAGGCCCTCGGCGACTCAGCGAAGGAGCAGTGGACCAAAGCCGCCACGGGCCCTGGCAGCACACCAGCCAAGAACAAGCTGCTCATGGTTTTCCTCAAGGCGAAAGGCGATCTGAAGAACTCGACCGCCTACGTGAACACTTTGGCGACCCTTTCGAAAACCACTGGCACGAAGCACGAAGAGGAATGGGTGCCGTTTGCTCGCATCCTGCAGGAGTATGGCTTGAATGAAGTCAAGCGAAGGCTGAGCAAAGGCAGCATCGTGGCCAAGAAAGCTGAGGACGATCCTGACGAATGGGTCTTCCGCCTCAACAAGACGATCAAGTACTCCGACGAGCAGCATCATCAGCAAATGGGTCTTGGCGGCAGCGGCAAGGCAGAGTTGGAACAGTACATCAAGATGAAGGGCCAGCTCATGCCCGACTTCGCACAGGAAAACTCTGCTGGAATGGAGGCCTTGAACCTGAATTTGGGCGGCGGCCAGCAGCGGGGCACCAAAGCGCCGAGCCGGAAGGAGACTGGCGAGGAGGAGTCCGAAGATCCCGACATTGCCAGGGTTGAGACTCTCTCCAACCCGGGAGACATCAGAACCCACGGAGAGGAGAAGATCAAAGCCATGGCCTCACTGATGGACAAGATGCTCAAGAATGTGGAGGACGACAAAGTGAAGAAGGTTCTCAATGAGGCCAACTCTGAGCTTAAGAAGCTTAAGAGCAAGCCCAAGCCGAAGCTTGACGACGTCAAGACTGTCTTGTTCAACTGTGCCTTGGCTGTTAAACAGGCCAAGAGGATGATGTAGGATCAGCTTAGCTGGGAGATCTCGTTTTGCTGCAGAGATCGCTGAGCCCATGCTGTGCTAGCAGGCAGAACACCTGCTCTTTCATGATTGAGAGTTTGCAAACCCTTGCTTCTGAGGCAGCAGAGAAAAAATCCACAGCATCAGTATGGACTTTTGCATGTCTTCTAGGCGGATTGAGCCTTCATAGCCGAGATTCCGTAGCAGTGCTATGCATGCTGACTGCATGGCAGCCCCAGTTTCGCAGTTTCTTGCACAACCTTCCTTCTGAGGCAGCAGAGAAAAATCCACAGCATGAGTATGGACTTTTCATGTCCTCTAGGCAGCAGAGAAAAAATCCACAGCATGAGTATGGACTTTTTCATGTCTTCTAGGCAGCAGACAAAAAATCCACAGCATGAGTATGGACTTTTTCATGTCTTCTAGGCAGCTGTACACAGCAGCATGGCCTCGAAGTGGAAACGAAAGAAAGGCCTGGAGCCAGACAAAGACGTGGTTGCAGTTGACACGACCGAGCTGTCCCCACTGGGGCACTGCCTTCTGGAGCAGTTTGCTGCCGGGGCCTCCGAGCCTTGGATGATAGATCACGTCAGTTTTGAAAGTTTCTGTCTGTAATGGGTCCTGATATATAGACTTGGTTTGTGGACCTGCCCCTTAACAGGGCCCTTCAATCCAGAAGCTTGCTTTGGCTGCTACTAAAACTTTCGGCGAGAGCCCGGCCGACTTGATCGACTTGGCATCTCTCGGCAACTTTGGCAGAAACCCAGGCAACTGTGCCGAGCAGTTGACGACACGGTATTGCAAATCGGAAGCCGGCAATTTGCCAAGGCCGTACTTGCTCGAAGTACCAGTTCGTGTCCGAAGCAATGTGGATTGTGCAGTCAGTGTGGTGACCAAAGACGTAGCCATCTATTTGCCACATGATTGGTTTGCTTGGGTCGTGAGCGACCACATATCCGAAGATGCCACAGAAGTCTTGACCGGTTTGTCCGGGCTGCAAAAGTTTTGGTCCGAGCACAACAAGTCCGATCCGAAGTTGAAAGGGAACCCCATTTCGAAGCAGAAGATGGAGAAGTATGTGCCTTTTGTGGTCCATGGCGACGGTGGTGCTTTTCAAAGAAATGACAGCATCAATGTGTTGTCCATGCGAAGTTTGCTGTCAGCTGCGAATGTCGGTTTGAGCCAGTTCTTGCTTTTTTCCATTCCCAAAGCATGTGTGAACAAGAGTGACGACATCGAGGAAGACACGATGCACCACATTTGGAGGGCCCTCGCCTGGAGCTTCGAAGCACTCTTTCGAGGGGTCCATCCCGTGGCAGATCATCAAGGCGACCCTTGGCCTGCTGGGTCTGCCAGAGCTCGGCTGCAGGGTGGCTTTTTGTGCCCAGCGAAACTACGAGGTGTCGTGTTTGCCTTGTCTGGTGATGGCGACTACTTTCAGAATGAATATAAACTGCCAGGCAGCAGTTTCAATGACTGCTGTTTTTCCTGCAAGGCCAACAAGTCGG